TTAGAAATGTTTAAAAATGACAAAACGTGTGTGTGGCAACTCGAGCAGCAGAGGCACCAAGGCCCCCTCTCAAGTGTGATAAAGGCAGGAACCCGGGGGTGCCTGGGGGGCTCCATCGGTCAAGCAGCCGACTCTTGATTTCAGCTCAGGTCATGATTTCAGGGTCGTGAGACTGAGCCCTGCACGGGGCTCCAGGAAGTCTGCTTGAGATTCTCTCTCCCTCTCCTTCTCCCCCTGCCCCTCCCCCCACTCGGGTGTTCTTGCTCTAAAAAATAAATAAATCTTTATTTAAAAAAAAAGACAGGAACCTGACTTACTGTCAGGCCCCCACAATTAAACAAGTGTGCCAGAACACGACACACTCTTGCTGGATCCCCCTCCTGGCCAAGGATCAGGATGCTGAGTGACCAGGGGAAAACCCAGTGTCCTCTCCTGTGGGTCTCCCTTACTGATAATGCACACAGAACACTTCTGGTCACCAAACGTGTGAGGGGTTTTCCCCACCAAGCAATTCTCTGCGATACCAGCTGGGTGTTCTACAATTTAACTCTTTTCTGTCACTACAGCACACTTTACATGCCAATGACAAATCTAGCTTGTCACCTAGGCTTCTGACCAATGGGCCATATAAATCAGAGGGTCCCATGACCTTCCCCTTCAGATTTGGTTAATTTGCTAGAGCAGCTTACAGACCTCAGGGAAACACTCACAATTACCAGTTTATTAATGGATACAGATAAACAACCAGGTGAAGAGATATATAGGGTAAGATCTGGGAGCCAGCCCAGGGACTTCTGTCCCCATGGAGCTGGGGTGTGTTACACTCCTGGTATAAACTGTTCACCAACCAGGAAGCTCCCCAAACCTCCTATTGGGATTTTTATGGAGGCTTCCTCACATAGGTATGATCAATTATTTACTCCATTTCCAGCCCCTCTCTCCTCTCTAGAGAGTGGGGGGAATTTGCAGAAAATTCCAAACTTCTAATCAGCTTGGTCTTTCTGGTGACCAGCCCCAATCTAGGAGCCACCTAGGAGTCCACCCAGAGTCCCCTCATTAGAACAACAATGGTTCTCGTGGTCTTATCACTCAGGAATCTACAAGGGTTTTAGGAGCCCTATGTTAAGTATGGGGTCACAAACAAAATACTAAAACAAGAGATGCTCCTTGTGTTCTTACCACTTAGAAAATTACAAATGTCCTAGGAGTTCTGTGCCAGGAACTAGGTGCAGAAACCAATATATAAATACTTTCTATTATCTCACACTGAGATGAAAGACTAAGTTGTCCTTAACATGAAGTTCACACAGAAATATCAGTAGCATGGAAACAGGCTATGACCTGAGTTTAACAACAAAAAGCAACACATAAAATTGAATGATATATGTAAAAAAGCACTCTCCCCAAAGGATTAAATAGAAGTACTTTAAATGTTAGCAGTAGTTGTCTCAAGGTCCTGGATTTATAGGAAACTTCTTTCCTTGCTTCTTTATATTTCTCTTTATTTCCCCCAAGTAATTTCCACAATGAACACGTAATGTTTTTACGATCATAGATAAGGAAGTCAAATATTAAATGTTTGCTTTTTTAATCTGCAAATTGTGGGCCACATGGATATATCGCTTTATCTAAATATTAGAGATAAAGCTATCTCAACATACAATAAGCCCTTCTTAACAATGAAACAATAATAACTCCAATAACATCAGGTCAGAGCACACTCACATCTGCAGAAAGAGTGCTAATGTTCACTTTTGTTATCCAAGAAAGTGTAATGCAGAAAACTTTTTTTTTTTCTTTTCAAATATGAGGTTTCAAGCATATCGTTATTATTGCTTATCCTATTGGATCTTCAAGCTGGCAGCAGAAACACATCTGGTCACACTGCTGATAAAAGTCTACTGCCAAAGGTAGACACAAAGGTAGGCAGTGTTGTCTTGTACAAGATGGATCTCTCTTTTTTCAAAAAAGGACTGTTTGACAAGTAGCTATCGTGGATGGAAACTGAAGCTAACACATTTTTTGCTGTGTTATCTTGATGGAATTGCTTTTTAGCTCCACATACTCAAGTACTAATATATTTCTCTCCTCATATTTGAAACGGACCATTCTGACAAAGGATAAAGATCTGGAAGTATAAACACTATGCTTGCCAAGGGTAAAAAAAAACAACAAAAAAAACAAAAAACAAAATATCCTCCTACCTTCTACTACTTTGGGTTGCATTAGCTCATAAACAGGCTGAAAATCTTGGGACAAATCAAATTTCTCTGTTTATAAAGTTCAAGAAATTCTTTCTCTTCTAATGCCTTTCCTTGCTAAGCCTAAAACAAGTAACAAAAAGTACTCAAGTACTAAGAGCCTAAGCAAGTACAAAAGAGAATAGTATAGATGTATAGATGTTCTAATGAAAATATCTTAAAAGTCACTCTTATTTAAAAGTTTTTATTTAAAAACTCAATGACACCAGATTACAGTTTGACGCTAGCTAGTAAGTACAGTTAGAACATAAGTGTTTTAGTTTTGGGTGTTAAACAGCAGTAAGAGAGACCTTTCTTGATAGTATCTACTATACAAATAATATTAGATACTCAGAAGGAAATAACATAGCTACAATTAATTTAAGAAAACTTTTAAGAGCAGCTTCCTGCCAAAGATCTTCCTTCTTAAATGGCAATGTAAACAATACAATAAGAAACACGAACTCTAATTGCTACAAAGTGGTTAGAATGTGGTTGGGTTGATCCAGCAGATAGTTTAACATTTTTTTTAAAGGAGGCTCCACATCCAGCACAGAGCCCAACATGGGGCTGGAACTCACGACCCATGAGATCATGACCTGAGCCAAGATCAAGAGTCATGGAGGCTTAACCACAACTGAGCCACCCAGGCGCCCCATCTGCCAGCAGATAGTTTAAATAGCCCAAGGAAACTTTTCCAACCAGAGTTACATGGACACAATAATGATGTTATAGGTAAAAAGCTCAGAGGTTAGAAAATACTGCAGAACTTTAAGTTACTAATTACTCTCAATGAGTCAACCCAAAGTACTTAGAATTGAAGCGGACATGTAAAGGCTAGTAACTTCAAGACAAGAATGCATTTTGTGGAAAATTTTGGCCAAAAGAAAAATAAAAGAAGCTATTAAGCCATTCTACTAATGCCACTTCTCATCTTGCACAGCTGACTCGGAATACAGCCTAGGTAACAATCTCAGATGTGTCTGACGATACCAGTTCCTGCTGTCTGCTTTCTATCTAAGCGCATTCTGACTCGTAGGCCACGTACCTCCTATCTCAGCAACAGGGAAAAGTGATAGAGCTAAGGGTGAAGTCCAGAGACAAAGAGATTTTAGGAACCACAAAGCACCCAGCTTGCCAGCTTTATAAATAATCCACCTAGCTTTATTATTTATAAATAATCCAAGGCAGATCAGAAACCAAATGCCGACTTCGCATTGCCTAAATAATGTCAGTGTTAATTGCCAAATCACCAAAAAAAGTACTGATTTAACTTCTCCAGCATAAAATGGGGGAAGAGGGAGTTTTAAACATCTGAGCAGTCAAGAAAATGTGTATGTACATCTTACCATTGAGTTTCCACCCATTCATTCTTTTAAGAAACACGTTCAAATACCATTAAATGTGCTGTGCTAGAGTCTGTGTGGAATTCAGACAGGAATAAGGAATCCAGTTGAGGAGAAGAGAAGCTAAGATAAAAGAGATCATGTGTGTTTATAGATATAAAACTTAAGAAGGGAGACAGGGACAGCTGTTTGCCACTGGAAAAGGCTTCAAAATTAAAGTAACAATGACGCTGAGCCTTGAAGGTCACATAGAATTTCTACAAGTCAAAGAAATGGAAAGAAAGGACAATCTAGGCTCTGAGGAGGTAACCAAAGACTCAAAAAAAGTGGTGGGCGCATCTGCAAAAATGCCAACAGAAGCAGGGCAGTGAGTATCGATCGCCTTCCTGAGGCCAGACAGGGATGGATTAGGAATGGTAAAGTAAGCGCTGGGCAAAGGAGAGAGAGGGCGGTTTTCTGGGATGATGAGTCCCAAATGGGGCCTGCACATCAAGTCACTTGGGATGCTTAAAATGCAGATTTTCAAATCCCACTAGGAATAAGAAACTGTAATTTTTCAAGGTCCTGTAGTAATTCTCATTATCTGTCATGTTTGGGTAAAGCGTGAAGAACTGCAGGCCAAAGTAGAGGACAGAAAAGGAGAATTGCTACAAGAGAAGAAGAGGCAGAACTAAGAGAAAATACCAACTATTAAGATACGGGGTTAATGGAAAAGAAGAATCAGAAGGTTACGTGAGGTCTAAAAGAACAGGAAAATAAGGGCGCCTGGGTGGCTCAGTCGACCTGCCTTCGGCTCAGGTCATGATCCCAGGATCCTGGGATGGAGCCCCGCATCCGGCTCTCTGCTCCGCAGGAAGCCTGCTTCTCCCTCCCCCACTCCCCCTGCTTGTGTTCCCTCTCTTCGCTGTCTCTCTCTCTGTCAAATAAATAAATAAATAATCTTTAAAAAAAAAAAAAGAATAGGAAAATAAGTATGATGTAAGAGAAGACATAAGAAAGGGCAAATGTTGGCAGAGAAAGACGAAATCTGGACATTCTGAGGTTGAGTTCCTTACTGGGTAGGAAATTTGGTCTTAGAAAGTCAAGAAAATCAACCTCATATTTGAACATATACTATTTGCTGGCACCTCTTCTAGGGCTGCTATGAGCTGCTACTTTGCCATGTTTTATTAATTAACTTCGGGAGCGTGTCTCTCTTTCCCTAAATACACGAAGGGCAAATTATACATATAAGGCAGAGTGCTACAAACTTAAGAAGAGCTCAGTAAATATTTATTGAATAATGAAAGTGGAAGTCTAAAAAAAGGTTGAAGGTTTTCTTTTTTTTATTATGACTTTAAAAAGAAAAGGGAAAAAACCTCTCTCCACTTTTTCTCTCTCTCTCTCTCTCTTTTAAAGATGTCATAATTCTTACCTTTGCTGCCAAGGCTTTTAAGCTGTCGAGGAATCTCTGCCAGAAATCCTTGAAGAGTGGGCGGTCGATTTTCTTCAGGCTATCTTTGGTGCTAGCATCCACACTGACATACAGCTGTGTAACTGGTTTGAGGTTCCTTTGTAATTTAAAAAAACAAAAAATAGGGGGAAAATTATGCCCGGGTCAGGTTTTTCGTGATGTAAAACTTACAGTCTATAATAGATGTGGTAATTAAGTATTTCACAGGGTCTACAGGCTTCTACCTCTCCCAAAGGACTGAAGTACTGATTTTCGTAATGGGACAGAATGGGCTGTCAGTTGATTATTTCTAACAGTGACTGGGCACCGTTCTTAATAAACTGAAAGCATTCAATTACTTAAAATTGGTCCCTCTTCAAACACTGGCTTTTAGTGAAAACAAACAAAATGAGATCTAGCTTCAGGTCAGGCACCATCAGCCCAGGGCAATTAGAAGGGGTCTCAGACTTGAGTTTCCCCATGAACTCTGCCATTCAAGCTTTATACAGCTGAAATGCTGCGACCACGTGGGGTCTGTGCTGACAGGCCACCTCCCGTCCTCAATTCACCGAGGAAAGTTTTCTAAGGAACAAGAAACAACCCAAAAAGCGCACACCTTCTCTGAAAGGCACAAAGCCACACCAGCGCTTCACCTATGCCTTGGAGAGCCAGAGTGGGTTTAAAGTCCAGCCTTGCAGGGGCGAACAATGACCTGGTCAGGAAGCTTTAAGCAATGTGGAGCTAAAACAGCAACCAAGCCTTTATAAAGGAGGACAACCCTCAAGAAAAATGTATGTTGCAAATTATTTTTCTTTGCCTTGTTGATGAAACAAGGCAAAGTCGTGAAAGTCATTCATTCTTATCTACTCTACCACTTGCCAGTTATAGTTTAAGTCCAGACTGTATTCTTTCCAAAACCTCCCTGTTCTCCCTTCAAATGGGTCTCATAGGGGCGCCTGGGTGGCTCAGTCAGTTAGGCGTCTGCCTTCGCTCAGGTCATGATCCCAGAGTCCCAGGATCAAGCCCCACATTGGACTCCCCACTCAGTAAGGAGTCTGCTTCTCCCTCTGACCATCCCCCGCTCATGCTCTCTCTCTCAAATAAATAAAATTAAAAACAAAACAAAACAAATGGGTCTCATAATTCATCTTCTTCAATAAATTTGCAACTAGAAAGAAATTTCCCTTTAATAATGCTTTGACCAAATTCTCCCACTATTTACTTTCTATAACTATTCCAGAATTTTATTTACCCCAAGGATTTATTTATGCATTTTTTTGCTTCAAAGTCTATGCACTTTTAAAAACTGAAATATAATTCACATGCCATAAAATATACCATAAAAGTGCTTTATGTTTTTGCATCTATCAATATCAGCCTTATCAATCTTTGAATGTAAGACCTTGAAGGGGAAGAACCGTATTTTTTTTATCCAGACATATAGGCAGGTACTTAAAGCTACTTTTTACTTGATATTGTTGACTTGAGCTAACCTAACTTTTAAGGACATGCAGGCCAAACAAATGCTTATAATGATCTGGCTTAGTGACATATGGAAAAATCAGAAGGGTCTAAACCCAAAGTTATTAAAAGTGGAGAAGCTCTGACCAAAGTTAAGAAGTGATTAAAATACTGGCAGAGTCATTGCTTTAATCCCTCTCCAACGCTGGCATACAAAGGGAATCCTTAAAAGTCCAATCCTGTGTCACTACTGAGCAAAGGGACATGAATTACTGAAAATGAAAAACAGGAGCACACTGTTAATGGCAGCATTCTGTCTCATCATCCCTTTTGCTGGGAGCCTCTTTAATAACAGACAAGCTATGCTACCTTAACTGGACTTTATGTTTTACAAAAAATAAAAACAGAAGAGACTGTTTTAATGGATACTGCTGGCTATCATTATCTGATAGTTACAGGACTTCGTCATAAAGCTGCCTAATGCAAAATGGGAACTGGCTTGACCTTTTCACTATGCCTTCATAACTACTTAAGATTATGAACAGTAAATTCCAAAGGCCATAGTTATTTTACAAACCTCCGTCATCTGCAAAAAAGGAAGCCCTGGACACTAAGAGTACCAATAAGAAATTTTAGTCGACACTAAATGTCTGAGATGCTATGATCAAGGAAGTTTATACATCTCTTACCAAAGAGCAGAGGAAGCATGAAGAGGAGGAAAAGTCCCTAGAAATTACAGAGCTTATTCCTAAGGGACTCAAAACATTAAAAGTACCTTGGAGAAATCTTCTGAGCCTCAAGGATCTTATGTCTGCCTAGTATTGGCCTCTATTCCCCAGGACAAGCAATGAGGTTCTCAGCATGGTCATTTATCTGTCACCATTGTATATAGAGATAGCATCATTTTAGTTCCCAAAAAGCAAGAGAATGTTATAAACTTAAAATAATGATAATAATTTGTGTCTGAGAATCTCACATTGCTGCTGAGAACAATTAAAAAGGACAATAAGATAAAAGGGAAATGCAATCCTAAAGCTAATCCCCAGTGAAAATGCCCAATGAATCTTGATAAGATTATTGGGATGATCCTTCCTCCTGCTCATTTTAAATCTCTGAGTTAAGAACAATCATATATACTGGGCTCCTGGGTGGCTCAGTTGGTTAAGCGACTGCCTTCAGCTCAGGTCATGATCCTGGAGTCCCGGGATCGAGTCCCGCATCGGGCTCCCTGCTCGGCAGGGAGTCTGCTTCTCCCTCTCCCACTCCCCGTTTGTGTTCCCTCTCTCGCTGTGTCTTTCTCTGTCAAAAAAAAAAAAAAAAAAAAAGAACAATCATATATACAAATGCACTGACAACTGAACGTAAAAATCCCTCTTCCTTTCTGCCTTTCTGTGGAGATTAGCAGGCCATTGGCTTGGAAGGTAGAATGAGGCCTACCAATCTCTAAAGCAAGGAAAAAAGGAAGAGAGATTTTGTATTTGCAAGAAATCAAATGGCTGAGAGAGTAAGTTTGATGCTCCTATCGAACAACAACAACAAAATAACCGAAGTAGTCCAAACATCAATACCATTAAAACCAGAATCTGGGGCTGTTAGGTCTGGCCAAATAATTTAGGAGGAAAAGAGGAGGATGAAGGGGAAAGACTGACTGAGTATTCATCACGTGCTGGGTGCTCTGTGCTCTGTGCTTCAGCCTTCTCTTTCAGTTCATGAAATCTTCAGAGCAAAACAACAAGGTAGTTAACCACTTCTGCCAATTTTAGACATGATGAAACTGAGATTCAAAAGGTTAAGTAGCTTGTTCAACAATCCACAAGTGTCAATAATGACATTCAAGCCACGATGTTACTCCAGAGCCTGTTCCCCCAGCCCTGCACCACAATGCCTCCATCAGAATGGTCAGTTCACAAACAGTGCTGGCTAGTCCTTTGTCAAAGAAAGCCAAGAGCAGTATTTCAAGCCTCACAGCAGTATTTCTCCAAGTGTGGTCAGGACTACCTGCATCAGAAGCACTTGCAAACTCAGGTTCTTGGGCCTCTCTCAAGACTGAATCACTTTCTAGGAATGGAGACTTAGAAAGTATATTGTTATATTAGTTTCAAGAACTTCTCAACATTGATCAAAGAAGTTGAAGATACAAATAAATGGGAAGACATCCCATGTTCATGGATCAGAAGAATTAATACGGTGAAAATGAAAATGTCTGTAATACCCAAAGCAATCTTTAGATTCAATGCAATCCCTACCAAAATTCCAATGCACTTTTTACAGAAATAGAAAAAAGAATCCTAAACTTCTACAGAACCAAATAGCCAAAGCAATCCTGAGGAAAAAAAGAACAAAGTGGGAAGCATCATACTTCCTGATTTCAAACTATAATACAAAGCTATAGTAATAAAAACAGTATGGTATTAACACTAATACTGAAACAACATTAAAACATTAACAACACTAGGGGCGCCTGGGTTGCTCAGTCATTAAGCATCTGCCTTCAGCTCAGGTCATGATCCCAGGGTCCTGGCATCGAGCCCCGCATCGGGCTCCCTGCTTGGCAGGAAGCCTGCTTCTCCCTCTTCCACTCCCCCTGCTTGTGTTCCCTCTCTCGCTGTGTCTCTCTCTGTCAAAGAAATAAATAAAATCTTAAAACAAACAAACAAACAAAAAAAACATTAACAACGCTAAAACAAACAGACAAATGAAAACAGAATAGGAATCCAGAAATATACCTATGTATATATGGTCAACTAATATTTGACAAGGGAGCCAAGATTACCCAATATGGAAAGGACAGTCTCTTCACTAAATGGTGCTGGGAAAACTGGATATTCACATACAAAAAATGAAATTGGACCCCTATATTATATCACTCACAAAAATTAAGTCAAAATGGATTAAAGACTTAAATGTAAGACCCAAAACTATAAAACTCCTAGAAGAAAATATAGGGAAAAGGTCCTTCGCATAGGTCTTGGCAACAGTTTTTTGAATATGACACCAAAAGTGCAAGCAACAAAAACAAAAATAAACAAGTGGAACTACATCAAATTAAAAAGCTTCTGTAAAACAGAAGAAATGATCAACAAAATAAAAAAGGCAACCTACAGAATGGAAGAAAATATTTGCAAATCATATATGATTCAGGTTTAATATCTAAAATACATAAGGAACTCCTACAACTGAAGAGCAAAACAACCTAATCTGATTTTTAAAAATGGGCAATGGACTAGAATAGACATTTTTCCAAAGAAGACATGCAAATGGCCAACAGGTACTTGAAAAGGAGCTCAACATCACTCATCGGCAAGGAAATGTAAATCAAAATATCATAAAACTTCACCTCTGTTAGAATGGCTATTATCAAGAAGACAAGAGATAACAAGTGCTGGAGAGGATGTACAGAGAAAAGGGAACCCTTGTGCACTGCTGGTGGGAATGTAAATTGGTATAGTCACTATGGAGGCTCCTCAAAAAATTAAAAATAGAACTACCATATGATGCAGCAATCCCACTTCTGGGTATTTATCCAAAGGAAATGAAATCAGTATTTTGAAAAGATGTCTGCATCCCCACGTTTAATGCAGCATTATTTACAATAGCCAAGACATGAAAACGTGTCTATCAACAGATGAATGGATAAAGAAAATGCCATATTATTCA